GCCGTCTCTTTGGGTTGGCCTGTCTGATTTATCATTAAAGCAGCGTTGCTGTCTCTTTTTGTTGGTGCTGTTTATATGAATATTGAGTTAACTGATTATAATAAAGATATATTTTGTGTTAAATACCTCTGCCTGGCGTTCTTTTCATTTCAACCTGGATCCAACTGTTACTGTCCCCCACCCTCTTTGCCTAGTTTTCATGTGGGGACGTAACACTGAGTGTGAACTCAGTATCGAGCTCTGCTCTGATTTATCCATCCTCTCCACTCTTTCCTGAACCACCAAATGCATTAGCTGGCTCCCTGGGGGCCTGTGATGTCATGGAAAAATGAAATACATACTACTGCAGGACCACTGGAACCAGCTCGATTCTGTGCAGTTTGTCTCCAACGAGCGTCCTCTGCCCTGCTAATGACTTCATAATTATTATGTCATCACGTCAGGGAGCTAATTGCAACAGAGTTTATGTTGTGTGTCCAAAGTGAGCATCCAGGACTAAATGATGCTGACAGAGGATGTAAAGTAATAGTTCATTATCTAATAATAACCTTTAAACACTGTATGAAATCCTTAGAGAACATTGCATCACCATGCGATTAAAAAAAGAACACACTTTTTTTTGTAAATAGCAATAACAATATTTTTATTAAGTTGAAATAATATCAGATGCAGCAAACAAAGTTGTTTTTTTTTTCAAATCCAATGTGGTAATATTCAAATAATTACATTCAGCCAAAACAGGAAGAAAGTATTAAAAAGAAGAGGGAGGAAGAAAGAGAGAGAGAGAGGATTTCAATTCAGAAGGAGGAGAGGTTGAGTTTGAGTGTTAGATGTGGGTGGATGTGGGTGGTGGTACATGCATCCCAGGTAGGATGTGGATGGGACAATACATTCATTTACAGTCATTTCCTCGTACCCTGTTAGCCCATAGTGCTGCGATGCCTCTCTCTCAGTTGTATGGCTTTGCTCTCTGAACTCACACAAGCCTCCTCTCATTTCAGAGTGCATGCGTCGCCATGTGCACCCAAACGCCCACCCCCGAGGATTTGTGGAACATTTTAATTAAAACAGCAGTGGCTAATGTGGGTTAAACATAGACCATCTCTGCCTGGGAAGATTCCACTCTCTGTGTTCCTGCAGCACTTTTCACGCTCTCTGTCTGTCTTGTGTTTGCAGCTCTCGTCCTGATATCCACAGGCGGGTGGGGCTGTGGCGCGGAGAGAAAGAGATCCGTCCCCAGGCCCTTCAGCTTTGCTCTAAAATGGTAAGTAGGTTATAAGGGGACAGGGGCACCAACGCCAACTGAATATTCATACACCCCCCCCACCCCCCTCCCCTGCGTTGATACTGTCCAACAGATGTTTTGATGTCTTTTTATAGCGCTGGGTTCTCCCGTCACTATCACACACGTACACACAGAATCTGGAACACCTCTCTCTAATAAGTATCCAATGTCAGTGCTTGCCTGAAGCAACAAACGAAAACACACTGCCCAGAGACACACACACACACACACACACACACAAAGGAATATGTTTCATTGCAAAGACATCTGTCAGACTCAGAGACAGCAGGGTGGTCTTTTGTTAGTGGCCCACAAAATATTGTTCACTTCAAAACAGAGAAGTAAAAAAACTGTGAGGAGTTTTCTGGGACAGCCAACCTCGAAAGATGTCACTTAGAAAACGGGTGGTGGTGAGGAGAGGCAGTGGGGGGAGGGTAACGACAGAGTGAAGGGGAAAACGATAGACAGGAGAGACACGCATCTCCTGATCACCAGGCGGTTTTATAATCGCTAGCTAATTGCCTGTCGGCAAAGGTGGCACTCAGATGTCCAGATGTTAGTTACGTAATGAGACCCCTGTGGGGATAGATGGAGGGCGAGAGAGAGAATGGAGAGGGGGGGGGAAAGGGACAAAAGAAAGGTGGGAGAAGAGGAGACAGGAAATGACAGGACGGCTACAGCAGGATGGAAACGGGACACATTCATCAGGCTGTCTGCGTGCGTGTCAGTGGGAAATCTGCTATTTTTTACTTTTTATATGGACAAAACACTCCCAGGAGGACAGAAAAGATGAAGAAATCCAGAAAAATGCCACTTCTACACAGGAAAAGGTAAATGACTGAAGTCTCTAATAATAAAACACACTTGTGTGGATCTGTGTGAGACAGAATAAGACAGCTGGGTGAATGAAAAATGCATCACCTTCAGTCTCACACACACACAGCCACACACAGATGGAAGGTGAGGACGCTCAGAGACACGCAAACACAGTGGTGGACAAAGTGAGAAGATAAATAGAGGAAAAAAGGAGGGGGTTTCAGGGTGGGGCGTGGACAATGGCACACTCGCGTCACGACACCCAGACAAAAGCACAACCTCGCTTTGCCAGCATCGCCCAGCTTTTAATGTCAACCAAAAGGACAATGACGCAAATGGGCCGGCTGTAACCTCCAGCTACAGCAGGCGGACACAGAGGAGACGCAACAGGATCTTTGCTCTCGCCGTCCGACTCCAACTCAGGATTTTTACTCTGCTCTCACTCCTCTTGTTTGTTTTTTTTTCAGCAAAGGGGGGAAGGAGGCCAAGCTACGGCCTGAGTGACATCGTAGATTTGATTATGGCGATGATGATGAAACATGGGAGGTCAAATGAAAGGCACAGCTTCAATGGTTCCCCCTGAGTTGTCACAATCTTTTCAATCTTTTCATATTCACATAGTTTTGATCAGAATTCAGACGATTTAGCTTTATCGCCACTTTTTGCCTAATTTTTTTTTTCATTTTATGCACCTTTTGTTTTTTTTAATCTCCCACACTGGTAGAAGTCAAACCTCTGTCCAGCTCCCAGCTACACCAGACACTGTTTTAAAGGGAATTGCTGCATTGAAGGGATTTTGGAATGAATATACGGTGCAAGCTTAAAGTGCTTGCTGACATCTTACAATACAGACACACATACACACAATAACACACCCACACACCTGTGCAAAAACTTACAGAGTAGCACAGTGAGGCTTTTCTAAACAGTCGAACAAAATAAATTAAGGGATGTGGGGACTGATTCTGTGCTTTAATTATTTGTAGAAAACGAGTATGCGCACCGGGCTTTTTCTCACATACAAAGCGCCCACACACACACACACACACACACACACACACACACGAGCAGGCGGAGGATGAGAGCTGAGTGGTGTGATGCGAGCGGGGGCGGGATGCATCGATGCTCTGGTCCGATGGGATTTCCTGAGTTGTATGAATGACAGTCCCTCTGGGAGAACCTCAACAGGACTCCTGACGTCACAATAGAGACAGGAGATTCTGCAACGTGTCACATAAACATGCCCTTTTGCCAAGCATCGTAGAAAAAGAAGAGAAAGTCGAGAATAAAAGGCAAAGCTTTCCGAGAGTCAGCATGAGAGAAGAGAGCGAAGAGCGTTTTTGGAAAGAAAAAAAGGAGGAAGGGAGGGAAAAAAAACAAGCTCTTCACGAGGATCATGACAAATGGCGATAACAAACTGTATCACAGTATCCTCTTTTGAAATAATTTTTTTTTGTTCACATTTGAATGTTTTTTTGTTTGTTTCCCAGTAGACTATATCACACAGTGATAACAAAGAAAAGGAGAAATCTACAGCCACGTTAGCTTCGTGCAAAAACCACATACACTGGCACGCCGCATAGGCGAAGAGATCAAAGCAAGACAACGCATACAAAAATATAGAAAAATCTCCAATGCAACTTATCGCTTCACAGAGGAAAAAACAAAAAAACATATCTGTCTGTTTAAGACTGCGAGGCTTCCTGCTGAACACCCACAGCCACTTCAGGACTGCCAAAATTCTTGTGTTTTCCCTGCAGGAATCCACAGAATCACTCAAAATATCCAGAAGCCAAAGCTGATCATTATGGCGGATGCCCATCATAATGACGTTTGGAATAATATGAACAACAACTGTCTGAGTGATAGAAAACTAGTACAATAAAAACATATCATTTCTGTCATATCATCTGTGACAAATTTGTTTGTTTGTTAGTTTTTTTTTAAACTTTGTTATTTTAAAATACATACTATGTCCTGTCACTTTGAAGACATTCCCAGCATTTGCTCATAATTGGTAGTGACAGGGATAAATAGTTTGGCATACTCAGCAAGCCATGCCCAAAAAGGATGCTATTTAGTCTCTTGCAAAGGAGGGGGGTTTGGGAGGAGGGAGGAAGGGCAGGTCCCAGGATGCAATGTCAACCTGCCCTCCTGTGGGAGACGCTGAGGTGGGAGGGGGGAGATGGGCAGGGAGGGAGGGGGGTTATACAGAACAGCTGAGATTACAAATCGTGCTCAAGACCGGGTCAGCCCAATGATTTCAGCACTTGCAAAAAACATGCAAATAGTAAGTCAGAGTTTTGGACTCTCAGTCATTCTGTGTGCCTCGGAGCGGCGTCTGTTTGCTTCACAGGTACAGAACAGAGCCGAAAACTGTGAGCGTCATACCCACGAGTCGGTCGCTGGGCTGCTTCAGCAAGTCCAGCACACTCGCCGCTTTCACATTGATAAGAAAAAGGATTGTTTGGACGCCTTCAAAGGAAAACTGACGGGAGACGTGGGATGAGGACAAAGCAGTTATGAGGAAATGCTGCAAGTAAGGCAAAGACGGATGATTTAATCGGTCCAAGGAGAGACAGAAAAAAACCCAACATGCTCAAAGTGTGACATTTTTCAGATGCCATGAAGGGGGCGAGGGAGTCTTTCGGAGGGTGTGGAGGGATTCAACACTGAGGCGAGAAGAGAGGAGTCACTGGTTGTTTGGCTCTCCTGCCCTCTCCTCTTCCTCCTCCTCCTCTTCGTCCTCCTCATCCAGAGAAACGACACCAGAGGAGGCCACGTCGGACACCCTCCTGCGAGGGTCGTAGTCGGGCGGGTATTCCACCCCGTTGCGCTCCGCCTCCACCTGGCACACGGTGCTGTCATAGTCCTTGCAGGGGGTGTCGTCATCCTCACCTGGTGACAGGTACGTGTCAGAATAAGACATTGAGTAGCAAGGCGAGTCCTGACCCCCACAGGGCCTGATGCCCCGCCCTACCACTCCCAGGCTTTGGAAGCCACAGTCTCCCCCGCCAGGCCCACTCTGCCCCACCCTCTGAAGTCGGGCAAGGAGCAGCTCCTCCCGTCCATGCAGCGCTGACAGGATCTTTGCAGCAAGCTCTGCGGCGTTGCTGTGGCAGTGGGTGCCGCGGTGGCTTCCCAGGTCGCGCAGCAGCGGGTGCTGCTCATCCAGGCTGCAGAGGCTGGAGCACAGGGTGTCAGGAGAGCCTGCCGTAGGGGAGGGCTCTCCACTGCCACCTCCCTCTACACCTCCACCTCGACTCTCGCAACAGGGGCTTCGGAAGCCGAGGTGTTGGCAAAGCTGACTGTGGATCAGGTCCTTCAAGTAGGGAGGATAAGATGGCACATCTAGAGGGAATGACACAGACTGTAAGCATGAAGTCCTGAAGGAAGAAGAACAGCGATAAGACAACATTTTCAGTTGGTTTTTGTGACTGACTGCAGAATCAAATCAATTTTTTTCCTCATTTAAAGGAACCCTATGGAGACGTTTACCACTAGAGGCACTCTGGAGCTATTGTAGTTTTGTCATTTTGTCATTAATTTTTATTTGTGTCTTAATTTTTTGTGTTTCTTTGTTTTAAAATATCATGATGACATACCATAAACTCTAGATTGAGAGTACACACTAAAACGGCAATAACGGTAGTGTTACGTCCTCAGGGTATGTAATAAATAATATGATTATATTATATTATATTATATTATATTATATTATATTATATTATATTATATACTGAAACTAGAGGATAGAAGTAAAGTATTGATCTGTTTGTGCTAATATCGATCCAATACCAGTAGCAGCTTTAGTATCGATACTATCAATATTTGGCTCAATCCGCCCACTTCAACTAAATAAACTGCAACAAAAGTAACAAATAAATGCATAAATAAAATTAAAAAGTTAAAACTAAGCACTGGGTATAATGGGATATAAACTGCTGCCCCGTGGTTTATTTTCTTGTCATTTATTCTAAATGCCACGCTCCCTGCCAACTTAAGTACTTTCAAAAACACAAGTTACAGTTTTGTATTAGACAACCAAAAAACAGTTTATAATTTGATACATTTAAGCACTGCAACTTTTCAATGACAATCACAGTAAGCTTTACTATAATCTCAGAGTAGAAAAATAATGAAATGAAGTTTAATTAACTATGAATTTACTCTCTATTAATTATTGTTTTTTTTTATAAAGTGTTACAAAACACATATGCATTTTACTGAACATGTATTTATCTCCATAGAGTGCCTTTTAAACAAACTCATGTTTCAGAGTTTACTGCTAAAAAGACACAGGAAGTTAAAACACCAGCATTCTCATGTTAGAAGCTACTCAATGCACAGAGTTTAAAAATGTTAAAAAGTTACTCTTTAAATAAAGCCATGCAATGTCCTGCAAATATTTTTAGTAGAAATACTAACATGGCATTATAAGCATGACAAAATGTGATTTGAGTGGAATCACTGTGGAAGCAGCGGAGGTCGGGATCTATGCAACAGTAAAATGAAGAAGTCGGTTTCACAGTGTCACAAACTCAGATCCCGTTTCATGTAGAGCTGATTAATATCACAAACAGGTTTGCACATGTGGAGCTGTCTTCACTGAATGGTCTTTGCCCCGGGGTAAGAAAACATTGATGATCATATGAAGACATAGATGCAAGAATGAGGTGAACCTTATTAGCTGCAGTACGGGTTATTGGTGGTTCCGTGTAATCAAGATGAAAGCTGTGGTGAACACGAGCATGCACGTACACACTGCCTTGGTCAGATGCACTCTGTGTATTTATAACCCGCTCACACACCATCCTCACACAGACACTGTCTCTGCTGCAAAGGAAATGATATTAAACATGCAGGAGGGATATCAAATTGCACCAAGGAACCAAAAAAAATGTCTGGAGAGGATGAAAACTAGGGCACTGGGACAATGAAAGACACAGAGACAATGAAGGGGGGGAGTGAGGAAGAGGGTGTGTAACAGGGTATTAGGGAGGAAGGGCACAATATGAAGGAAGTAAATGTGATTTAGTGATTTAGTGTCTGTGTGGGTGCTTACCTGTGCTCTGTGTGGTGGGCTCATTCGCAGGCAGGTAGTCTTCATCATATGAGTCATCATTGGACTCGTCGCCATCCACGGAGGACCAGGCCCTCAGCTTAGCCTCTGCAATGGCAAACTGCTCCGCCACACCTGCAAACACACACGGACACGCATGAGCTACACATGCACACAAGCTATGACATGATTGGCATAGTAACAAGAAGGAGCAGCAAGGCAGTGAGCCTCCACGTCATGTAGCTGATTTTAATTGGCAGGTCTGACCGAGCAACAAAGCACACGGCGCAGAATAAGAAGGGACACAGACTGTTCTCCTTTTGCAGTAAATGCTGTTCGGCAGCCATTTAGCTCGTGTACTTCAAACAGATGTCACAGAGTGTGTGACAGTGTTGTTATGCAGGTTGCATTCCTTCCAGTGCCGAGGAGACAGTGAGTTGGAAGAAGCACAAAGATGAGAGTCTAGCACTGGCTAAATGTGTTTGCCTCTCATAATAGCAGGAAAGATCCATTATTGATCAGCACTGACATTTTTATTGAAATAACAATGATATCATTTCTTTATAAAATTAGAAAATATGACACGCATGTCATGATGCATTTAATGCATATTCATGATGGCAGACGGCTGCACATGTGTGTGTGTTTGAGTTTGTTGTTGATGTGACTCAGCAAGTGCCAGAACCAGTAAGCTATAAGAACCAAGTGACCAGTCACCAGTTATCATCATCAGAAGCTGACCAATCAGAAAGCCCTTTCTCTGTTTTCCTCATCATGTCTCTGCCCACTCTCATCATACCTTTCTTACAAATGTCTTTCTTGATAAAACACTCTATCCACTCGCCTGCTCATGACTACTGTTTGATTGTCTTTCATAGTGCATACCTGCCCCTCTCTTCTTATTAGAATTTCTGTCTCCTTCCTCTCCATCACCTCATGTCTCTCTGACTCTCTTTCTCCCTGCTCAATGCTCAGTATTCGTGCGTTGTCTCCCACAGAGAAAGATCGATGATCTCATTCATCTTTCACTGTAACTTGGCCCTGAGCGTCCTCACAAACACTGGCACATGTACCAGCAATAGAAATAGTGTGGGCTGCTCTTTACTTGTCCTTTCAAAGTCTTTTTATAATTCCTTTAAGCAAGCATTAAATACAAGCTACAATAATAAAAGAACTTTAATAAAAAAAAGTAAACATTTAGTTCAGATCAATAAAAATAGTATTTCACAAAATATCTATAAGGTAAAAAATACCTTATATGTGTTTAACTAAAAACAAAAATATAAAGTAAAATGAACTATAAGAAAACAAACTATAAATAAGTTAAAGAAAATGAGTACAAAATTATATAAAATATTATTCATTATTTATTCATAATGAGAATTATTAAATGTTATAATTACATTTATTATTAATTATCTAATTAATTATAATTTGTCTTTTGAAAATCTGAATATAATTCAAGATGCTAAAGTAAACTGACAACAGGAAAGTAAAACAAATTATTAATTATTAAATGTAGTTTTAAAAAAAACTACAATTTACATTCATTTGTAGCAAAATAGTGTAATGGAGGGTACCACAGGGTGGCATTACAATAGGTGAAGCACTTTACAACGTTGCATAGCACTGGGTAACGTAGCACAGAGTAACATAACGTAACAAGGAACAATAGCATAGTGTAAAATAACATAGTATAGCGTAGCATAGCATAGCATAACGTGCAATGTGTAGCGTGATAAAGCATAACATAACGGAAAATAGCATAACAAAGAATAATAGCATAGAGCATAGCGTACATAGTATAGTATAGCGTAACCTGACATAGCATAACCTTTCATAATGTAACTTCACCTCGTTGGCGTAATATAAATCTGGCCATGCAGCTACAGTGCTGGCAACAGAAACTGGTCTGGACTCACTGTAATGAACACATACATAGTTTGCCACATTCTTCAATGATATTATATGGGGCGATCGTGGCTCAAGAGTTGGGAGTTCGCCTTGTAATCGGAAGGTTGCCGGTTCGAGCCCCGGCTTGGATAGTCTCGGTCGTTGTGTCCTTGGGCAAGACACTTCACCCGTTGCCTACTGATGGTGGTCAGAGGGCCCGGTGGCGCCAGTGTCCGGCAGCCTCGCCTCTGTCAGTGCGCCCCAGGGTGGCTGTGGCTACAATGTAGCTTGCCATCACCAGTGTGTGAATGGGTGGATGACTGGATATGTAAAGCACTTTGGGGTCCTTGGGGACTAGTAAAGCGCTATATAAATACAGGCCATTTACCATATTCTAGGCACGTGTGAGTATGGAGATACTCTGCAGGATTACCTGCAAAGAATTCATGACTGTGTGTGTGTCTGAGCATGCTGGCAGAAGTCAGTCTATCGAAAGGACAACCCCAGCAGCTCTTTCAATTCTCAGCACGCCTCCTACACACATACACAGAAGTATATTCACAAACACCAGTGTGTTCTAGAGTAACTAGTTCAAATACGCACTAAGCCCACCAAATGCTCACTTAACACAATCGCACATGCCTGCTTAATGCATTAACACACTTGCTGACATTCACACAGTGTCTCCAGTCACCCACAGTAGCACCATAACAGACTACAAGGTGAAACTTGATAAACAAATAAAGAGAGTCAGCACAAGTGGCGGCTCCCTGAGATGAAGAGGAGTACAATGTGTAGTAATATCTCTCCAACAACTACCCCCACTGCTTCCAACTGTAATACAGAAACAAAGAAATGAATGAAATGATTTGAAGCTTTTATGTTTACATGCTGTTATCTACCGTTTAAAACAAAGCAAAAAAAACACTCTCTGGTATGTATTACAGTTAGCTGGCCAGGATCAACTAATACTATACAAATATAGTACTGTTTGAACAATATAAATAGTACAATATACAAAGAGTACAGGTTTAGTCCTGATAGTGTGTTGATCTTATGTATGGATATAATGCTTTTAGGTACCTCATCAATACACGTACACAAGACCATGAGATCACAAAGACAAGACGGATGAGTAAACAGTTAAAGAGGACAGAAAAAAAGAAGGCAGAACAGAGGAGGCACAGAAGAAAACCGCTCTGTTACGGTGCCACTAGCCGGGAGCAAAACCTTACTGTGCAAATTAACCTTGAGAGTCTGCATTGCAGGGAGCGAGCAAAAGAATAGAGGGAGAGTGGGCAGGAGGGGCAGGGTGAAAAAGATGGAAAAGAGGTAAGAGAAACAGAGGTCAGGGGGAGAAACATTTAAAGAACGGACAGCGAATAGGATAAGAGAATAAATACAGGGGACAAGAGTGAGTGAAAGAGTAGGCAAAGATGAAGTGAGTCAGGGAAAGAAAGAGGAGACAGATGAGCTGTGGTGAGTGCGCTCTCTCTCAGAGGAACATGAGAGGAGGAGAAGAGTTAAAGACAACAAATGCTAACATGTGATCAGTGTCTGGATATCTTACCTGACCAATGACATTTGAGCCTCCTTGTATTTACACCTGGTATTAATGAGTGTTCTTGTTGTCTCAGTTTTGCCTGCTTTGTGATTACATCTCAATATTCAAATTAGGAAGGCAGGTGTGACTGGCTGTGGAAAAACAATCAGGCTGTTCCAGGAAAGCTCTACTTACCTACTCGACATAAGGAAAATAACATCTTAACCGCGGTTATGTCATTAGAGTTATCTCAGCTCGGGCTGAACTCACTCTGCATTACAAACAGCTAAAGTGCACAAAACTGTAAGCTCTTGTGTTTTGATTCAACTTTTGGAAGTCAGGGAATTTATCGCCACATTGCCCGTCTCATTATACAGCAGTGCTGTGCAGTACTGCACCTCTTTGTTGTTCATCTGATACCAAGTAAATATGGGAGCAGCATTGACAATACCAATACAGATACAGATACTTTTAACCTATAAAGGCAGCTTATATAGCGGAGAGCAATGTGTCAGTATTTATGAGCTCAAGCTTCACTAATTTGCACATTTTAAACACATTTTAATGACCACTAAATCACTGTGATTTACTGCAATTACTGTGATTAGTACACAACAAAGTACACCTGTCATTTTATCATGCATTTTGAAAATTAGTTTTTTTGGAGACCTTGAATGTTTACATTGGGTCAACGTCTGTTGTTTAAATGTGCAATAGGCTATAAAATAAAATAGATGTGACAGTTTAACGCAATTTCAGTGAACTACAAATTGCACTTGGAGGACAGAAGCAAAGTATTAATACTAACGTGCTAGTCGTAATCTGACACCAATACCTGTGTTGGTATCAATACTATTGTTTTTCAGATCAATCCGCTCACATCCACTGTACAGTGTGGCTGATTTAATCCTGTTTGAGATCCAGCCACAAACCACTCTTCCTTCACGTGTTGCAATCAGCAATTGGTGCCGCAATGATATTATTAACGTACGTAACTCAGGCAAGAGATTACCTCCTTTCCCCGTGTTTACCTGATCACACTAACAGTGACGATGTTGTGTTTGACACAGCATTAGATGGAAGTGCTGGGGTGGAGGTGGGTTGCAAAAGCGCTTGCACAGGATGTAGGCTGAAGCAGCTTAAATAGCTGTGACATCTGAGTACTAACCAGCCATCAGCTGATTGGGGTTGATGTTTCTGTGAACAGGTCTTGTTTAATGCTAAATTGTACCTGCAGTGATTTATTGAAGTTCATGAGCATGCAAAACTGATATGCCGTAAATATAGTCATCATGAGTTTGCTGTTAAATTAGCCTACATTTACTCTTATTATGGTTTCTTGTGTAACTAATGCTTCATCATGACGTTTTCATATGCCCTCTTGCCTTAAGTCATTGTTTCAGTTTGTTACCAGTGCCTATGTAAAAAACACTCTCTATAACTTTTTATAATACATTATAAGAAACACAAAATCTTACCAGCAGCAAAGCGTGCCTCCTGCTCTCCTTCAGTGAGGTCAGAATAGGAGTTGAAGTCTGATTCCAGGGCCGCTGTAGTGTCTATAGGCTTGCACCAGCCTTTCCACTCTATTAGATGGGCTACTCTGCCCTGTGCCATGGCTGTAGGCTTCGTCACATGGTCCTTGACCACCTGGGAAATACCTATATGCCAAATATCAAGGATTAGACCGCAACATGACCTCGCAACGATCAGGTGTTTTCACCATGTACAATATCATGCAGCACTCACCATGCAGGGAGGATCGTGCTAACGCAGCAATCTCTTGAATAGTGAGAGCTCTTCTTGATTTTGGTAACATTTCAATGGTGTCGTCAACATTCACCTGAAACGGCAGAAAAGAAAAGAAAAGAAAAAAAATAAGAGTGAGTGAAAACTCATACAGTAGCTCAGCGTGAATGTGAGCCAGCTCTGAATACATCCTGCTATGAGTCACAGGAGAAAACACAGTGCTGCCTTTTGATAGAGAAGGAACTCCTGGATTCAGAGTACAGAGTACTACTACAAGCCTTTGTGAACTGAAGAATTTTCTCTTTACACACTTTAATCTGTGTTTTAATGAGTTGCACGCTGCACACCATCAATAATGTACAGCAGTTACTCCAAAGCTGGACTGTGCTTATGTTTAACCGACTTATGTAGCACGCAATAGCAAGTTAAATGTCCTATTTAAGCACTCTGGATGAGCATAGTGGTTGTTGAAGGGATGAAACAGAAGTTGCAGAAAAATACTTGATGCTTGGTCGCACTCACGTTCGCTTTAGTGGTTTTGCCTGCTGGCTAATTAGCAAACTAATAGTTCAGGTAACTGAGAAGATGCTTCTCAAGATACAATGGAGGATTTAGCTATGCGGCTGCAAGAACGGAGATGGTTGAGGAAATGGAGCATTTCTATGTGTTTCACTCATATTTATTTACAGATTATATCCAAACAGCTGTTACCCAAGTGAATCCCTCCAGTGGCATCAACTCTGTCAGGTAGATTTTTATTTTTTTGACATAGTTAAAATTCTGTCTGTTTAAATGTGTGTGTGTGTGTGTGTGTGTGTGTGTGTGTGTGTGTGTGTGTGTGTGTAGACAGGTAATTTCCCCATAGAGAATTAAGAGAACCAGACTGAAGACAAAAGGATGGTCCCCTTCCTCCCTCCACCCCGTCCTCAGTCAAATCTGTCTGCTCTGTAAACTCAAACCACAGAGGGAGTATCGAGTGTTGACAAGTTCCTTTGTCTGCTAACTTTTTACAGCACGACCTGTACTCACGTGGGAGCACGTCAGCAGCAAGGGCTGCGTGCTGAGCTAATGCTCCCACGTTGTTACTTGATATGGGTCAACACACTTGGCTGACTGAGCAATTTGATGATTTCTTTTGTAAAAGGCTGAAGAGGATCTCAACAGGTACAGGTTGTCTCCAATCCCACTGTGACTCACAATGGAGCTGTCTGATGCTCTAGTTTCAATCATCTAAAGGAACAGCACTGGACTACTTGACCTACTATGAAAGCCATATTTCCCTTCCTTGTTGCAGTGAGTCACCAGTCTATGCAGGGTGCATCTGATGTGCAACGAACACTGGTGATGAAGTTAGCTCAACACAGGAGCTTCACCCTGACCTTGTCGTGTCAAGTCCACTTAACCGCAACAAAACAGCAGCCTGAATAAATGAACAACAAAACTATCTGTCAGAGGGGCGCTGTCACGGCAGAGGGGATCCCACACTCAAGACGTGCTAATCCTCCTGTGTCGCAGAGCTGCTCACAGATCGGAGGGAGGATAATCCGGAGGAGACGTGATACATGGCGTCAAGGAGCTCTAGAATAACATATGATGTTGGGCTTAAATTGGAAATCAGAAACGACCCACAGCTAAATATCTTATTTGCTTTCAAACAGCTGCTCTGAGAAAGTCTAACATGGGAGGATTTTATAAATCATTGGAGAAAATCCATCTCAAGAACTCATGTCTAACCCTGCCTCATGAATCTAAACTTCATTTCACAGCTTGTTTTTTTTCAGTGGAATATTCCATGATGATTTCAGGGGGATATCACTACCCCAACACGATGCGCTTTTTCTTATTCTGATAAAGAACACATGCTTTTGAAAAACATGGGTACAAGCTCTCTGCTTGAGCATGATCATGCTGACTGCCGACTCTGCTCCTCCACCGACTCCCTCCCTCCCTGCTCTCCCACTGCCCCACTGAACAGCAGAGTGAACACGAAGACATGAACCGTACTCAGAGCAGACAGGGTGCTCAAGACTGCTGTGCAGAATCTTTATTCAGTGCAACGTAGCACACATTTATATACCTCAGATATTTTAAATACAACTGACTGAGTTTTAATGTCAAAATCCTTCATTTTAAAGTTTCATGTCTGCAGGTCAGTGTACTGGCTACTGTAAGAACAACAGTGCAAATACGCACGTACACACATCACATCAGAATCCATAAAACCTCATGGTCTACTGATTGCCAGCAGCAAAGAGGCTGCTCAGGTTCACCTTTGGCTTTTAAATCATTGGTTAAGTGCTGTCTGTGTGAGCCGTGGCCTGGAGACAGCACAGAGAAAAATGCAGCGGACTCATCAGAGCAACTTGCATTATCAGTGCCTCTTTAACTGCATCACCTGAAAGCCTGCACACTGAGATAAAAGCATACTGTGAGGTTTGATTCCTTTGTTTTTATTTAGTTTTTTCTTATTAAATTTTTTACAAAGATTGTCACTCCATTAAAAAAAAAAAAGTAGCCGTTGCCATACATATATCGAATAACTGCCACCAAAGTACATTTGCTAACACAATTTTTTTCAATCTATTTGAAATAATGGTGCCATCTGTGATTGTCTGATTTACCAGTGGAGAATCCTGTGCTCTTATTTTGAAAGTTCTGTTGCTGTTAAACCAGCTCTTCTTGTCCTGCTGGGCTTGTTATTGCGGTGGCCCTGGATATCTTTCAGCTCCTCCGTCAGGATCTGGGATTCCAACTCCACCATCTTGGACTGCAGTTTGTGAAAGGAGTTCTTCTTTGCCTGTGCTGAGAGCTGGAGGACCACTCTTACCAGAACCTGCAGCAGGTCTAAAAGTGGTTCACAGGGCAGAACTAGGGCTACCGCTGACAGCTGCAGTACAAGATGGTGGAATTGAACCCATTATCTGTCACAAAATACTTGGGAATTCAATTTTTTGCAGAGGAGAGCCTTACAAATGGTATTGTTTATTCACCACAAATAGAATCTAAATCTGTGGGGAAACACTGGAATGTGCTGCATTTGCTATTGTACCTGTGATTAAGAACCTAAAGTGGATTATTAGGCTTACCTATTTCACTGGTCTGCAGTGACACAGCCACAGAATAACATAAAACAATGCCCCAGGTTTTCCAATAAGCCTGGCAGAGAAGCATTTTACAGCCATAGCTTCTGTTTTATGGGCTAATTGAGGTCACGTCACAGCAGAAATCTAACTTGTACCATTGTACTGGCCAACTGAGTCAATTACCCTGTTCTTGTTTACCAAATGTCAACCCCTTCTTCTGCCACCCATACATGACAAAAAAAAGTTGAGAATTCAAGCCCTCAGAGCTGTTAGTGGAACAGAGCGCTGTGGCTTCTGCTTCCACTTGTGGAAAAGAACCTGAATATTTTGACACGCCACGTTTCTACCGTCTTCCTCTTTTCTCACCCTCTCTCTGTCTGTTAACTTTTCCACAATGGGAACATTTCTATGGCAACCAGTCACCGTGGAACAATTCCTCCCGGCGTGTCTGCGTGCGTGATTCACCAATGATGTCACACACTCAGAACACCAACCGACAGCCAGATTAGAGACTCTCACACTTGGCGTCCTGCTTTCTTTTTACAGTAGACGCTGTAGCATTAAATAGAAATGTAGGATGCTGAAGCAGGGTCCGTTAAATGTGAAGCATTAGAGCACTTCCTCTGTAATATAGATGTGTTGAGCTCAGCAGTCCAGCCAAGCTGTCTCTCACAGTCTCCAATGTTCAATATCAGGCCTGCCCATGAAGAGCGAGAGGCTGCATTTCGTAATGGATCACTTAGATGCCGCTAATCAGTGCCTGGCTGGCTCTATGCGACACATCTTATTCACACCCAGATGGTATCCACTGACAAAACTGGGCAAGGTGGATTCATCATCACTCTTGTCATCTCTCAGCCAATTATGAGCCTGCTAACTCTCACTGCTGTTGCATTAAGTAGCTTGCTGTAGCTGAACCCCTTCTTCGTTCCTTATAGGAATCTTTTAAATAGGTCAAAGCATCGGGGTCACATAGATTAGTAGATTCACATTCAAGATGATATTTGCAAAACTTCTCAGAGAGAGCCGCTGGACTCACCCAAATTCCACTTACCTCCTTTTTTTAAATATATGCCTGCCACACAAGGGCATCCCCCAAGGCTTTTTAGTTCTGCGAGAGAGCATGTCAAGCCTTGAGTCCACCTGTATTTTCAATTGTCAGATCAGAAATACAGATTAAAATGTGCAAATGTGTTCATCTTGGCTTGGGAATTCGAATGAACATCCAGGCAGATGCTCCAGTTGGGCATATGCGGAGCAACAGCGCTCTCAGTGTACTAGCTCTCGTGTGCGGAGTGAGGGACCTTGCACGTCACTGAGATTTCATTTAAAATTCCTAATTTGAAAGAAGTAGCCACTAATTACCCTGAATGGCTTGTAAAATGAGTTGAAAACCAGCTGGTTAGTATCAGCAACAGCTAAAAAGGAGAAAAGAAGCCCAGGTTGAAATGCACATGACAGACTTGGGTGGCTTGATTAATAAGGTAATTATCAGAGCAGGAAAGGTTGAGGAAATCATTTTCCGCTTCATGTGGGGAGATGCAGCCATTTCTTATAGTTGCTTCTGCAGGTTATAATCCACCAGTTTACTTAAAACGTGGCCCAGACCATACGTGTTCAGCCACAATTGTGCTGCCAGAGGTGAGCCTTTTAAGGCAGAAGATAAAAGAATAACACGTGAACTTTTGCAGCAGCCTGCCCTTTCACCCTGTTAACAATCTGCATCAGATAACATGACTGCCTGTTAGAACAGAAATAACAAATCAGCGCGAGAAGAGAGGAGATTACTGAAATACTTAATGTCAAATATGAGCGTTTATATTACTACCGCTACATCTTGCATGACTACATCCAAAGTAAATACAGGACCAGTACTGCTGATAGCAACACTGATACTGATAGCTTTAGTTTATGAAAGCAGCATATATAGGGGGAACAGTGTGACATTATTTATGAGATGAATCATCATTAATTTGCAAATTCCGAACACATTTTAACGACCGCTAAATCACTGTGATTGTGATTACTTTCCATAATAATAAATTAACAAGACAACTTTCAGCTTTCAGTGTATTTTGAAACTGGGTTTTTGGAGACCTGGAGAGTAATGTGCCATCTCTACAGCCCTTTGGGGTTGTTTAAATGTAATATAGGCAAAATGACAGTAAACACAAAAAGATACAGTGCACGTCTGAGGTATATTTTTCCATTTCAGTCCTACTTTGTTAGTATCAGTCTGATACCAATGCCAGTACTGGTATCAATACTATGGATATGGACTATGGTGAGATCCTGCTTCTGGGCACACCAGTTCACTGTTATGATTCACTGGCAGACTTGAGCCATTGTTTCTTACACCTGTGAAAATGGTCTATAATAATCTTATTATTGTCAATGCAGAACCACTTTCCAAAAGAAATTAAGGTGCCGATAAAAGCTTTTGAATGTAATTAAACACATAGGCTACATGTCCATTTTGTAGAGTAGGCCTGGTCTCTTTAAACGGCGCTGCACCCTGCTGCTACTACATTTAATGTGACATTGTCTTCATTTGAATCGCCATTAGTGCCCATTAGAAAGCACTCAGAACTGTGTTTAAATGTCTAACGTGAACTGTAGCCGAGCTATCCAACAGAAGACACTGCACGGGGTCGTTATGTCACAAAAAACTTTTTTTTTCTATGATAAAGAGAGAATTAAGGGCACCTCGCTGAAGTCCAGTGCGCCCAAAGGTGCTGTCAGTATCAGCCTGCGCGCCAAGGAGGTCCGCGTGCTCCCCAGGAGCGCTAGGTCAGACAGGGAGCTTGCCGCGCTCCAGTCCACGCGCAACGAACCGTCAACCGCCACTGTCAGGAGGAAGAGAGCCACGTGAGGATTATATCAAATGAACATGTCAGAAAACAACTCCACGCCGCATTCTTGCTCCGTAAAGCGTTGAATAGCGACATAAATAATAAGCAAAAATGTGACACTATGACAAAAGCCACAGTAACGTGGCAATAAAGTGTAATTAATGATTCGTAACGTGCTTTTTTTGTCTTCTTAGTGCACTGGAGTTTTAAGGCTTAATCTAACCTTGTGTGTTTCAAAGTTTCAGTCACCATGCCAACGTCATGCCTCCAGAGGGACCACAGGTCGGGCGCTCAGGGGTGATGACCGTATAAGGTAATGTGGTGTTCGCGTCTCACTAACGTTGCGTTTGTTTGTTTTAACGGAAAAAAATTAAAACACCGAATTTCCCTTTAACTACCAAATTCCTAAACACGCTGCACTAAATACAATAAAAATAAAATTGAAATAACGACCAGTTTTAAAAAGTAATAACAATAAACCCGAATGTTAAATAGTACAAATTTAAATTGAGGCCTTAAAGGCGTATTTACTGTAAGTGCTTTCCTCCTTATGTAATGTATACAAGTGTTGGGCTTCTTTATTGCAGCGCATTCTGAGGCTATATGTGGTAAGATAACAAGAGGCGGGCGGTGCATATATTTCCATGCACTTAAAGCCATGCTATGTCATGCACACGTACGGTTCTGGCGGCAGCTCGGGCCTGTTAGATGTTTCATAAAGTCGGGTCTACTTTTTCGGATGAACTGAAGCAGAGAACATTAAAAAATGAAATTGATAAAATTAAAAACTAAAAAAGCAGGAACCAAGGAGCGTTTCTTCTCGTTTGTTTTGTTTCGCTTTTAAAACATATTTTTTTTACGTCAGCCGGCTACGTCACGAACAAACACAGGCAAGGCTCCGACTACGTGAAGGGCAAATGTCACCAAGCAACCTTCTGGTTGCAAACGTCACGGAACCGCCCGCAGACACGTGACTGTCCGCTTGATTGGGCGCGTTTAACCTTTCCATCATCTTCGCCTCTCCGTGACCTCACAGACAGAGAGTGTGTGTATGGGGGGGGGGGGCATGTAGGACCAAAGGTGCTCGTGTGCACGCGGCGCTGCGGAACATTTCAGCACCAGGACAGCTCCCCCCAACTTTGCATCGCTCAGCGTCTGCGTCCACGTGCACGCCCCCAGCCCACTCCAATCTCTCCAAATCAGTTCTGCACAAACGCGATTAGGAGGCGGGCCTTTAAATGTCAGTGCCCAGCTCATCTTTCCGACCCTTCGCTGCAGGGGAGGCGTTTCTAGTTACTGCCCGTGAAAAGAACAACTCGCTCGATTAGTCGCCAGCGCCCATCTCAAATATTGAGTCCGATATCAGTCACCGGACTTCAGCAGTTTAGCGCCCCGAGCTCATGTTGCCCACCTGCTGAATTCAATATGCGCTGTTTAATTGGGTGTGATGAGATCGGATGCCCGATCGGGGGGAGGAGGGTGGGGGTGTATTGTATCGCTGAATCTAGGCCATCTTTAGTCGATGCGAGTATTGTTCAGAGGAGTGGAAGATGCGCACGTGCGTGTGTTCTGTGTAGTTTTCAATTGAGTTCCAGACGGTCATTTGAGCCTGCGTGGAAAGCTGTGCACCCTCACTCTTTTGCATTTGACATACACATGACAGCAACGAATCACCGGAAAGCCGCTCGGCGCCTGAAACCGAGCCCCGCACGCTGAGATGTTTGTTGATCAGCTTTGCTGGCCTTTAAACCCGCACGGTTGGTTTGAGCGACATTGCACAGACACTCACAAATGCGTTTTTCTTTCAAGCTTGCATTGGGCACGTCGCGCGTGTCAGATCAAGGTTGCGCTTTAAGTCGTGGCTGTGGATCAGAAATGCATGGAAGAAAAAACAGATCCACAGACACTGGTGAATAGGGACGTTTACGGTCTAAAGTTTTTGTACCACTTAAAGCCCATGCGCACTTCTTACCTTACATTTATACTGCGAGACAGCCTTTTCTCTAACAATACAGCCTCAGGTATCAGTAGATTTCTATTAGAGTTTTAAAATACCACAGATAATAAAGTAACTAAAGCGTTAAATTAATGATGTAAACAGACTAACACATAAATACATGTAACTCACATTAACTCTGTACGTGACTGTACCACGTTACATTCCACCACTGGAAGCACTAGTCCTCTCAGTGCTTCCGTGAAGTGGGCACTGGAAGATTAAGGCATTTCGGCCTTTAGAAGCTCACGTTTGGGGCACGGCAATGACTGCGGGTAAGGTGGATGGGACTGGGGTCTGAATGAAAGGAAAGAGCACAGGTGGTGTAGGTTAGGGTGAAGAATAAGACTAAAAACATGTGGCGCATTTCTTATGAGGGGGGCTCACCGTTCTCCTCCGCGTGGGCCTAATTTGCTCTTTTTTAATCTTAATTAATCTTCTTCCCTTGACTGTGATCTATCTAAAAGGCAGCCTCAAGCAGTGTCTCCTCTCCCCCGTCACAGCAAACGAGCGCTGCAGTCTCGGCTTTTATTTGTATTTATCTGTTAATTGTGCTCCTAGGTCTCTGCTCGCACTCGGTCTCCTTCCTTCTCCTTCTCTCTCTCCCTCTCTTCCACCGTACTTTCCGTTGTCGTGGAAACTGTAGAAAGAGAGACCTCGACTGTGCATCTTTCCCTCTCTTTCTCTTCGCCTCTCTGGTGTCTTCGGGCTCTCTGACAGACTTATGAGCCCATCAACACAATTAGGTCAAGACCGGTGTGATGTCACACACGTTTATCCACAGTGTGAATGCGAGAGGCAAACAGGTGGCTGCTGCCTTAGCTGCACTCTTTGCTGGATGTGCGGGAACACCGTGTGCACGTAGGCGGCAGACCTGTGTGAGGGGTAATGGG